CGTAAATTTCGTGGGGAAAAATTTTTTTTTTCAAAACTAACAACACCTCGATTTATTTTACACTAAGGGCTATCTAAAAACAAAATATGAGCGAAATCGATTTTTTGACTTGTGCCGATGTTTGGTCGACTCTTACAGAAAGTCGCTCTTAAACATTAAAGTTTGAATGTTTCTCTAAGGCATGAAGTTGGAAGCGGAAGCTGGAAGCCTGAAGCTGAATGCTATTTTTTTTAATAAATTCTATGGTGATACTGTCAAAGTGAGCGTTTCTCTCACCTCAGCGTTCACTCAAATATTGACATATTAACTCCTTAAGAAAGACGTCTTTAAGTAAGGATTTTAACAAAGTAAACATTCAATATCAAAACTTTACTAGTGAAACTAGACTGTTTGACAAATATAAAGCTTATTTACTCTTCGATTATTGAAATAGTAATAAACAATGACCGAATATGTTAATGCTAAAAAAACGAACTAAAACCTTTTTTTTTTTCAACTCACAAGAAAATCGAAAGAAGAAGAAAGAATCGATAAAGCTGGTACACCGGTTTACTATTTTTATCTATTTATCCAGCTTCCACCAATAATCGAATATGTACAAAACAAATATAAATAGAATAACGAATTTATTAAAGGAGATAAGGACRGTAAGTAACTAGGGGAGGAGTGGGGGGTACTTTGGGGTGAAAGGGTATGCTCGTCGGAACGTTTCGAAAATACTCATAAAAGTTGCTGGAAGATTTTTAATCCCCAAAAGATGACACACAAAAATAATAAATAGAAAGAGCGATGGGCTTTTCATTTTCGATACCTTAAAAGATAATTGCCGAAATTCCCCGGGTCTGTACACCCTATAGAGCGTTTTCACTCACTCCCTAGAGAAAGAACTGACAATAGAGATGGTAGCCGTATTGGTGTACCTAACAAAAGAAACTAATGACAAAGTTATTGTCAAAGGTACACCAATATGGTGGCTGTGATGTCATGTCTGACAACAGAGATGGCAGCCATATTGGTGTACCTAACCGAAAAGAAACTAATGAAAGCTGTGATGTTATGTGGAAACCCTTTATTGGAAGTCACTGTTCCAATATGTCAAGAACATAACGGCAAGCCGGAGTCGTAGTCACGTCTCAACTGAAACAAACATTTTTATTCTTAGGTCCGAACGATGTTTAATCAACAGATGGATTAAGCTTATTGAATTCGACGGAACTACTTAAACCTTAGTCAGATATTGACTTTACTTTTCAAATGCACCGATGGGCATTGGTTTGCAAACCAATTGGACGCTAGATTAAACAGTGTTGATAAACATGAACTTTCATTTACTATTTATCACTGAGTAGCAAGATATTTTTAGAAAAAAATAAAATAATAAATAAAGATAAATCTATAACAACACCAGATCCTGAAGAGCCGGATGCGACGAAGTAGGGTCGATCAAAACTGAAGATTTCAGAGTATTCCCAAAAAACCAACAAGACCAGTAAAAACAAGGTTTCATAGTACATGCAATAAGATACATCTAGTTCGAATAAATAGCAGAGTTTGACACGGAAAAGAAGATTGTTCCCTTAGTAAAATTGCTTTAAAATTGTTTTATCTTTTTTGAACCACACTAGTGGCAAAACATGCACTAAAACATACTCCCTACTATACTAGCTCATGAGAATATGTGGACCGCGTAGCACTTATGAAATACAAGATATAGAAAATACAGACAAGTTATAGTGCTTGGGAACGAGGTTATTCCGGGCGAAAGACCCTTGGAATTAAATTCGGAAAAATTAATTTCCGACCCCAGCCTAGCTCATGTGAATAAATATCTCTAGACATTTTTTGAGGAATTATTGTCATTGTTAGCTTTGATAACCTACAATATCTTTTTCCATCTATTTATTTATGTCAATCGCATTTGTTTCATCAGTTGTCGAGTAATAGTCAAGTACCAAAGTCTAAATTATTCTATACCCAAAAGATTAAATCCACCTATCTAGAATGTTCGATTCTCCGACATATTGGTAGAATTACAAGGGATTAGCAACAATAAAGGTACAAATTACCCCTTAGACCACGCCCACGAGAAAGGGGAGGGGTGCTACTATATATGGTTTAGATGAAGGAATACCCCCTTAGGGTAAAACAAGTTTATTTTCTATCTATGGCAGTAGAGTGAAGAGTATACTATTATCTATTTCTTGCTATAACAATTCATTTCTTATCCTAATGAGTTATAGCTTTTCCTGGTGTTTCAGGCAGAGAAATTTGTCTTTCACTTTGGACACAAACAAAGATTGGACATCGCGCCTCTAAAAAAAAAAACGCACAAAACACTATGTACGGGTCCTTATAGAATTCTATATTTGATCCTCAATAATGAGAAAAATAAATATCATTTATTACGACTCCACGAGGAATACTATTTTTCATCGCTATCTGTGTGTATCTAGTGCGCCGGATTTTGATGGAAGGCATTTTTGTTAAAGTATAACTCATTAGTTTTGCAGGGATGTGATTGATTATAAAGTTTTACCGAGAGCCTAAAAAAAACAATTCTAGTGTTGCTTGCTCGTTGGATAATACCGAGTTTTAAAAATGTTTTATTAAAGAAATTAAATAGAATCTAAGATAGATATTCGATTATGAACCTATGTTTTGATTCTTATAAAAATAAGATAAAACGATGAATAAAAAGCATTAAATCTGTATCAAAAAATACCAAAGCTTTAGTAGTATTTGACTATCATATATTTTTTAAATCCCTTTTACAAAACTTAATTCTTACAAAACAAACATTTGCAAAATCCCTCATAACCAAGAGCTGACACTTTTAATGCAATATCTAAATTATTTGTCCAATCGAGAAACTAATAGGTTCGTTCCTATGGAGTTCGGTGATGGATGCAGAAGAATTTATCATCTTACTTGTTTGGTTTTACGAATCGATTATTAAGGGAGCACTGTAAAACTCTCAGCTGCAACTGACTTCCTTGCATAACGACCGACGTCCGATCTTACTGAACGCGGCCAGGTGAATTTTGCAAGGTAAGACAATAAGAAAGGTCCGATATTTTTAAAATGACAAAGTTTCTGCTCGACTTGAGGGCCTTTTCAAGTTTCGCTATCTAAAGAGTTAGACAAAAAAGCAAGTAATCTCGTAAWCAGAATTTGGAATTTAACTTGAACATGTAGGATGAGGAAAACTAAGTTTTTGGGAAAAAGTTGAGATTAAGTGAGAAGTGGAATGTATTTTATTTGAGACAATTTTAAAAAAGGTTATCGTTATGGTTTTTAACGACAATCAACTCGAGCCAAAAGCATTATCTTCCCTTCCAATTATCTTGTATCGTCATCCTTTGTTTTTTCAAACTTTATTTCAGTGTAATTACCGTTCTTACAATTGGATACATTTAACTTAGTCAAGAGTGAGAATATGAAGTATTATCTTCCCTTCCAATTACCTTGTATCGTCATCCTTTGGTTTTTCAAACTTCATTTCAGTGTAATTACCGTTCTTACAATTGGATACAGTTAACCTAGTCAATAGCGAGAATATGAAGTATTCTCTTGCCTAGTTTAGCCACGCGTTTTGGGTGTTCGTGTAAGCTCCGCTCTCTTTCATGATGATAGAATTAAAGGGGGCATAAAACGATTTCAGATTACAAAAAAGGCGTATTTAATTAGTAGTACTGAAAGTTTTGAAGACCGACCAAAGCCGAATTATTAAATTTTATCGGTTAATTAGCTGAAACAGCCTTTTGGTTAATAAAAAAACGGAGAACCCGTAAAAAACCCTCGAATCAAAGGAAAGACCTAACAAAATCTACTCACATGTGATTGCGAGTCTTGGAATCGAACCCGAGACCCTATTGGTGAGAGGCAAGTTCACTATACCACTATGCCGCCAACCCTAATGATTCCTCAGTAGAAAATCTTCCTTGTTTTGCGAGGATCACAAACCTGTAGCCCTCGTTCCATAATGAAACTGAATTAAAATTTAAAGTTGGTCTTTGCAGAGGCAGAAAAATTGGGAAACCCATAGAAAAATACTTGAAGCACAGGAAAGAGCCATGCAACAACCAACTCTACGCAAGTGTGATATCGTGTGTCGGAAGTCTAATTAAAGCAATTTTTACTTATGATAGGGTTTAAAAAAGATCTGATGAGTTTTTTTTATGTTTTAGATAGGCCGCCCAACACTGACTGTCTTTCCCGGCTAACATATACACCGCAGCACTATGGGTCTCTACCTAATCTCATCACTCGCCCTATTCCTCGCTACAGCCTCTCTTGTCTCAGCACTACCAGGTGAGTTGGGAAGTTTTTTCAGCTCGAGGTAAAAAATGAGTTGCGCTGAATTACACGAATTATTGAAATATTGCTGTTCTAGAGATACAAAAAAATAAATACTCATTTAAAAAAGAAATTCTTTGCGCATCTCGAAAAACAAACCTCCTCAATTGAAATCATTATCTAATACTTTCGTATTAGAGCAATGTGATTGGATGGCTGTACTCTTTGTTTCGTTTTGATTGGTCACGCTCGTAGCAGAACGAAGCAGTCACCGTTACGTCACGGATTTCAAAAACCTAATGAAGAGATCCACTTTATCTCCMAAAAAAACTATGCTAACGTCAATGTCAGTATGAATGGAACAACGCTATATCAGTCAAGGACTTAACTCCATAAAACTAATAACCGATTGTTGAGTTAGAAAATTTAGAAGTCTGTAAAGTGCTTGTTTGATGATCTTCTTAGTTTGTTTAAGAAACTTGTGCTAAGTGCACTTAAAAAGCTTTTGAACAAACAAAACTGAAATATAAATAAGTTACCTTGTGTCATAACTGTTTAACTTGTACGAGATACTGATAGGCGTCACTTTGCGCCCATGAAAGTTTTCAAAGTTATCACGCGTGTAAGTAATGATTTTAATTCCGCAGTTCCTTTCTATTAAACTGCCAACAACTGAATAGACCCTTTAACCTAAAACGCAATTTGGCCCCATTTTAAAACCACGTGTACTCCCCAGGGTCTAATTTTTTTGATCCGCGCGCTGCATTATTGTTTCCATGATGTCCATTATCTAATGGGAATTCTTATGAGAATTACTCAGTTGTGTTAGTAACAAAATTTATATATGCAAAAAAACCTAAAATTTGTTTTATATGTGTGTGTGCGTGTTGGCTTATTGCGTTGAAGGCAAAAGAAACCTTTATATCTCACTGGAAATTTAACGAATTTTCGTGACGCCGTCAACAGTTGGTCAAAATGTTATGGACTCACGAGTCGTAGCCAAGTTGGTGCACAACTAATTTTGACCAACTACTGAAGTCATATCGTGGTAATTAAGGTGACACACCACAAAAAAGCATCTGAAATCTTTTTTTTTTTTTACTACAGAAGAAAAAAACACAAAAAAAGTTTGAAAGAAAAATGGTTTATAGGGGTGCTGGCTTCGTGCGCGAGCAATTCGTAATTTGTTGATGTAATTTGTTGGTATGTCCTCTTATTACCTTGGCTCTCGACCAATCATAAAAGCGAGAAAATTTACATTTGTGATAAAAATTTTGATTTTGCATCCACCTTTAAATTGCATCAAATTTTAGCTGTTGAAAAAGACGAATAATGAGGATCTCCTATTCCAGCAAGTATCTTCCTTGTAATCTGATTACTGAGAACCTTACTAAAAATCTTTCCAACAGAATTTCGCCGAATAGGATGTTTCGCAGATGCAAGAAGTCCCCGAGCCCTGCCAGAATATCTCAAACACGTTGGAGGTAAAGCTGATCCACAGCAAGCCTGCTACGACCTGGCCAAAGCAAAGGGCTATACGGCCTTTGCTTTACAGAATGGTGGCGAGTGCTGGACTGGTGCCAATGCTCATACTACCTATGGTACTCATGGACAGTCGGGGGGATGCCGTAATAACCTTGGAGGAGGATGGGCTAACGATGTCTTTATCAAAGGTTGGTAGGATGGTATGTGGCGGGGAGGTTAGGTAGGTTATTGCAGGGTAGGGTAGGGTAGGGTAGGGTAGGGTAGGGTAGGGTAGGGTAGGG